AGTCACCTTCCATTTTTTTAAAAAAGTGTATATATCCTGGAGTCCACAAAAGATATGAAAAATCCTCAGGAAATTTTGGCATCTTTTTCGATGAACTATCTTGTGAATCATCCTAACATGCTCATGTTTATATAAATAAAGAGCATTAACACTTTGGTTTATGTTCAGCCAACAAAAATAAATAACCACAGATCAAGACAGGCTGTCAAACGATGTAAGCCACCTTCTGAAATAGGGGAAAAATGTCTTACAAATCTCAAGAACTCCAAGATGTTTTTATTTATTTCAAATTCCAATAGAATGAATATGTTTTAGCTAAATATTTTTATCACACAACTGAAACATTGAATTACTTTTTCAGAAATAGAGTTAAATACATCAATCTAGTTACAAATTCTAATATAAAGAGTACAAAATATAATGTTATAAACTGTATTTTTAAAAAAGGAAATACAAATTTCTATGGTCTTTGCATCTGACTGCCTCAAAGTATAACTAGCAAAGTCTATGAAGAATGAACATTTTTCCTTGGGCAGGGCCACTGGGTCACTCTTGTGGGCATGTCAGAGGGCTCTGGAGTGTGCTCGACCCCTGACTAACAGGGACCTCATTGTCACTTGAAGTTCTGGCCTCTGAATATATATTTTTTTCTTTTCTTGCTCAGTGAATAAAATGTGCTATAATTAGGACACACCAAAGTTAAAAGCAGTAAAAGAACATATGTTACTTCAGACATTTTGCAAGTGAAAAAGTAAAGCTGTGTGAATGCAGCCCTCCCTCCCTTCCGCCCAGCCCTGAAATCTCCCAGCGTTTGCTGGGGAGGGGCAGGGAGGGGCTGCTTATCTGCCTGGGTTTAAAGAACAGATGTTGGTAAAGAGTGTCCGGCCCTGCAAGGCCAGGAGATACCGTCTTCCACGCACAGAGGAGAACGACACTGTGTTCTTTGATCTTCAATCACCCTGTGAACTACACGCTCTCTCGGTTGAAAGAAGAGAAAGTGACCACCCTGGAGAGGCACCAGAGACACCAAACTCGCCACTCGCTGCATCCTAGAGGAGTGTGAAGTTATTAAACCTATGTGTGCCTGCGTCTTTAGCGATGCTCAGATCACGTTCCCAGCAATCTGTGCATAATGGCCCAATCAGAAGATGGATTTTGACATACGGGACAGCCTATGATGTATGAAATCATCATTCCTTTATCTCATGGAGTGACCATACGGAACTCCCAAGTGCTACTTCCTGAAGCACCTTATTTTCAGGAAACCAGTGTCCTTATTGGTCTAAAGAATAAATAAGTAAATATTGGAGGAACCTCTTAAAACATTTAATATTTTTCAGAACCAAAAAAGGCAAAATCCACTTAGCTTGAAAATTTGTACTGTGTTGACGAGAGCAAAATGCACCCGTCTGAGATTGCAATAAGACCTTCCAGAAACCAGAATGATTTCCCAGAGAAGACACTTAATATCTGATTTCTCCGAGTATTTAAATGTTCATTCTTCAAATTAAGGAATACAAGTGAGTTACCTGAAAGATTTTTAGAAGTTAATTATTTGTGTGTTATTAGGATTCAAAAAAGAAGAAGAGGTGTGAGCGGGGAGGAGGAGGGAGAGAGAGCAAGAGGCAAAGCGCCAGCCGAGCCCGGGGGCAGTGGGCGGAGGGCAGGGGAGAGACACGGAGAAGCTGCAGTGTAGACAACCAAACCCTTTATTGTCTAAGTTACATTAGACGCAACACTGTAAAAATCCTGTTAAGAAACGAGGAAACAGCAGATCGGTAGAGGTAGTAGAAGGTCTGTAACAGTCAGAAGGCGACGTACAGAAGTGTGTCATGCGGAAATTATCATTCGGAAAAAAGCAAATCAAAACATACTGGCTAAATAAATAAGAAAACACAAATCATATTAAACACTATGGTCGAACTGACATCAAGGCATTAACAAACCAGGACGACACCGATGATCAGCGGAAGAGAGGAAGCACACACCCAGGCCCGCACGTGGCAGGGCTCAGAGGGTGGCATTTCCCCGGGGGGGGGGGGCCCGGGTCCCCGACATCTGTCTCACTAAGCAGAAACTTTACTTCTGCACCCTCCGCAGCATGTCGCTATTTAAGCTGGCTGAACTCTGCTGGGCTCTCCTGGCAGACAGACTCAGACCGTGGGCTCTGCTGGGGACCCCAGCACCGGCCCCTCACCCTGCCAGACTACCTGGGAAGGAGATTTGCCAGGAAGAAAGACACTTCCAGCTCAAAATGCCAAGTGTGCTTTTCTGTGCCACTACAGAACCAGCAAAAATGTACACTACACCTTTGTGTGACTTTGGGTACAGAATTTCTTTTAATAACTAAAACAGAGAAACACACAGGACTGAATCACCAGTCCCTGCACGTTCCTAACTGTCACCATTTACTCTTCAGCCAAGAAAATAAAAGCCAGAAAAATGCAGAAATTATCACTTTGGGGAAACTATCAAAATGACCAAACATAAATCAACAGAAAGGTATTTGATTTCTTAGGTGGACAGAGGAATGTGTTTCTGCAACTTTGCTCAAAACAACTTTACAGAAAAGTCAATTACAGTTGCTGAATAGGATCTGCACGGACATTACTAATTACACCAACACAACAGATCATTCTCGTACATATTGGGTGTAAGAAGATCAGGAAAAAATAAGTAAAAAAAAATA